AAAGTACTTAAAGGCCATTTTGACTGTAATTTAATTAAATGAATGGTGGTCTCTGACTTTCGCACAGTACCATATAGACATAATACATATCAGACATTTGACCCCACAAGCTGACAGTGTACAAAAACTGTGTGTGGGTGTGTTTGTGGGAGAGCTCGAGAGAATGGAGCAGCAAATATGTGACGAGTTAGTGTTACCAACTCACACTGCGCACCCTTGACACACTTTCAGCCCCTGACGTCCACTAATGAACACCTTGCAAAGCTCCTGAATTACTGTTTTGTTCAGTCGTGAGGCTCAAGTTTCCAGAGAAACACACAGGTCAAGTGCCATTCATCACCCAGAATCACTCGGGGGCCAAACACAGACGTTAAATTACACAAAAACTTTACACAAAAAAAGTCACATATATATGATATTGTTTATTTATGGCCTCCAAAATCTTTCTGAAGTGACCTTCTCATCTTGTCAAAAACTGCAATAATTTGTGCAGGCAATTCAGCCCGAATGGGGCTTTAAATGCCAAATGCTACACCATAATCTGTCAGTGTCAGTTTTATCGTTGATAAATCCTCACTGCGTATCTGAAATGTTCCACAAATAGCTCCGGCCATAAAACTCCTGATATCAACTGCTAACAGTCTGCAAACAGATGAATGTGGTTCCAGAGAGATTAAACACAATGTGTCAGGGGGTTCATGATTCTTCTAACATCTAATATGCATTTAAAACTGAACAGAGTTCAGTGGTCACTCCCATAAGACATTTTTAGTGAATTCTGGCCCAAGTTTCCCCTTTTGCCTTTAGTAGCTGTGTAAAATCTGAAGTTTAAAAGGCCTTTTGAATAGAAAACTTCAGCCCATACACTTCATACATGGAAACTAATCTGCAAGAACAGTCTGCTTTTAATTTATTGTTTCTGTGATGTCACAAAAACCAACACATTTACATATATCCACATATTCGGCCTACAGCAGTTTAGCCCCACCCGTTCATGCTGAAGTTATAAGGCGTGTTTCAGCCCGGACTGCATTTTGAATGAGGCACAATACAGGGCAGCCAATCCGAACAGAGCTCATTTACATAGATCAGATTCAGTCTTAAACGCACAGCAACAAAAATAGTGTGGAAATGGTCATATAAAAATTGATTATAATTATTTTTGGTGCTTAAAACCAGATAAATGTTATAAGTGGATGCTGAGCCCTTTATGTGCAACAAACAAATGTGATATTTAAATTTGCAGCTTCAAATTTATCTCTTAAGTTGAGACAAATACTTAAGATGTTTTATGTAAGTGGCCATATGCTGGCATATATTTCAATATACTACACATATATGTTAGATGTGTGGAAATGTATGTGCATTTACAGACATCAGCATATTTGGCCTACAGCAGTTTAGCCCCGCCCATTCACACTGAAGTTATAAGGAGTGTTTCAGCCTGGACAGGACAGGCAATCAAAACAGAGGTCATTTATAGAGGGATGCACAATGATATTGGGATCATATCAGTATCGGCAGACAAATCAGCACACAAAATATTTCCACATCAGACAGATGATTGAAATGACCAATATGTCAAAATGATATGTTGATGCATTTTTTGTTTTGGGAATGCTGGGCTATTGTGCCAGACTGTCTGCCTTTTATTCTGGAAGAGAAAATTGGATTTTCTTACCCCTTAAACCCACTAAATATGTATCCCTCTAAATAAATGTATATATTTACAGTATAAAAAGTAGAATATGGGCCCATTATTATGGTGGCATGATAACACTTTTACTTATCTGAGCACATTTGTTAGGAAAGTAAGGAAATCTACTTTTCCCTCTGTTCCACTTTAGTCATCAATATTGAATTCCTGGTTCTTTTTTCTGGATGTAATTTCATTCTGTTGTTTTGGTTCAGCTCCTAGACTTTTCTGCTGCTCTACCCTCCCACTTTGGAGCTTTATCACTGCATTTTAGACCAAAAGGATAAAAAAAGGAAAGAAATGGTTCCTAACAGACTTTAGCTCCTCTGGTGAAAGATCAGCCGTAGCCCTTTAAGACCTTAAAGTCCCAGAAAGTCCCTTATTACATCCTACACTCCTGAAAATTATGGTTCTTCAAGGGTTCTTTAGTAAAGAAAGCAGTTCTACATAGAACATGAACATGAACACTCGAAGAATCCTAAAGGGTTCTTTGTAAGGTGAAATGGTTCTTCAGATTGATGGAGAATGTGCTTATGCCATGCGCGCCGTCCCCCACTCACTCACTGTTTTCCATCATCGCTGGGGTTCGTCCTCGCCCGGAGTTCAGGTCCACCTTCCTGCCAGCTCTCGCGGCCGTCATCGGGGCCCGTGGGACGTGCACATGCCATAGGGCTGTATATGGTTCTATACAGAACCTTTTTGAAAATATCCATATATAGCACTAAAAAGGGGTTCTTCTATGGTTACCAGCTTGACAACATTATGACAGAAGAACCCTTTTAGTACTATACAGAAACATCTAGAGCACATTCTCCATCAATCTGAAGAACACTTTCTCATTCAGACAGTTAGCGTCTAGCTAGCACTTATCTAGCACTGGTTTTCAAAACATATATCACACATCTACATCTATATAGCACCAAAAAGGGTTCTTCTATCGTTATGATGTCAAGCCTATAACAACAGAAGAGCCCTTTTTGGTGCTATATAGAACCTTTTTAAAAAGGTTTTATATAGAACCATCTACAGCACGTTCTCCATCAATCTGAAGAACCCTTTCTTGATGCAAAGAACCCTTTTATCATGTAAAGGGTTCTTTGAGTGTTCATAGTTCCATGTAGAACCATTTTCTTTACTAAAGAACCCTTTGAAGAATCATTTTTAAGTGTGTGAGGCTTATTCTTCCGCAACTACAGGGACATCAATGCAAACTAGCTGAACTATTCTTAGGTTATAGTAGTGTGTGATAAAACAGCAGGTGGCCTCTGGCTATTAAAGGGTAACAGGGCTAAATAAGAGATGTTTTGACCTGTTGCTTTTTGCTAGGTTACTAATATTTCAGTCATTATTACACTGAAGCAACACTGCTTTAACTAGAGCTCTTAGGTTACCCCACCCACCTTAGAAACAGCTGCTGTAAACTGATTATATGATCCCTCGTATCATGCCTGATCATTCTATTTAGGTATAAAAGAATTGAAAAGGACTACAAGTCCTTGCAACAACCTCACAGAGGAGTTAAAGGGGAATTCCACCAATTTTTCAAAGTTTCTGAGGTTGAGATAGAAACAAAGTCATCCAGAATGATTTGATGTGAGATGGTTTATTGTATAGAAACGTACAGGCATAGAAGTGCTTCATTGTAGAAAAACCTACTGACTGGCTTACTGATTTCTTTACACTGGTGGTGATAGGAACCAGACGTCCTGATGTCTACAATGCAAATATAGCCATCCAAAACCACCAGTGAACCTACACGTGTTTATATGTAATGTTGATGATGGTAAAATAGTGGTCAATCTGAGAAAATAAGCTTTCTTTGGTGTCTATTTTGCCTTACAACGCCCTTCACGTTCCCCTCCATCATGAATGGGTTAAAATAAAATGATTAAAATATATTTTAGACCAAAATTTCAGACAAAACTACTGAAAAACACATCAGGCAGTGAATTCATACCCATTTCACGTAATAACTTTCTGTGAGGGAGCTTTTAGAGGTGGACATCTGGTTCCTATCACCACCACTGTGAACAATTCTGACTCAGTAAGTTTCTCTAGAACAAAGTATTTCACACCAAACCTCTCTGAATGACTTTGTTGACAGGTTAACCATTTAATCATTCAGATATTTTGAAAAACTGGTGGAGTTGTCCTTTTAAATACAAAGACAGACTCTGCATTGTCCAGCCACCCACGGCTCAAGCTTAAATCTGCCAGAGTGACTGTAAATTTGTCAGCTTGACTGTGAAGCCTCAGCACATTTGCCTGCTGGAGTGAGTCTCCACACAGTAGGCTGAGCTCGCGGACTCTGAGGACTAGAGGAGGAAAATCACAGAGTGTTGCTGAAACGTAGGAAAGTATTTTAATGGGCCTGTCAGGTTGCGCGTGAGGCTGAGAGAAGGTGACTAAGAGGTCGGTGAGCTAGCTGACCTCCATTAAGAGTGGGCAGCTATGTTGTGTCTTTTCCTGACCGGTCAGGAGGGACGGCAAAAAAAGTGAAACTAAAGTGTGAAGCAAACTGACCGGAGATCAAAATCATATTCACTTACGCTGTTTCTGTCACTTCATTCAGACCTACACTCTGAAAAAAGATGGCTCTTCAAGGGTTCTTTAGTAAAGGGAATGATTCTATTTAGAACAATTTCAATGCTTAAACGGTTCTCTGCATGGTGAAATCGATCTTCAGACTGGGGGAAAATGTGTTGTATGTAGTTCTATGTAGAACCTTTTTGAAAATGGTTCTATATTACACCAAAAAGGGTTCTTTAGTAAAGGGAATGATTCTGTTTAGAACAATATCAATGCTTAAATGGTTCTTTGCATGGTGACATGGTTCTTCAGACTGAGGGAAAATGTGTTGTATATGGTTCTATATAAAACCTTTTAGAAAATGGTTCTATATAGCACCAAAGGCGTTCCGTGACATCGTATACAGCACATATACAACACATTCTCTATCAGTCTGAAGACCCACCATGCAGAGAACCATTTAAGCACGAATTGGTCTTTATAGAACCCATGGTTCTGAATAGAACCATTCCCATTACTAAAGAACCTTTAAATTAACGTTGACGTAAAAAAAAAAAAAAACTGACGTTTTGCTTGGAAAATAGTGCCACATTTCAAAATGTCTTTGTTTATTTGTAGCTCCTTCTGTCTGTGTTTCACTCAGACGTTTGGCTTCTGGCATAATCTGCATGTCCTTAAAACGCAGTTGTACAACTTTCACCGCCAAGTCTACACTAGTTTGATGACTGTAAGCTCAAATTCTGAGGGAAAAAAAGTTGAAATGTTTCTTTCTCACCTTCTGCACTCCCGAAATCACATCCATTCCGCCAAAACGAGTTTATTTCCACAGTCAGAGCTTTTTAAACGCAGGGAATTTCGCGCGAATCCAGCAGTCTCCGTTCAGCCTCAGATGCCTCCCCATGAACGACTGCGGCTATTTAACTGAAGCGGGTTTTGCGGGCTTCGTTTTTTCCCCACCCGTATTCCGACTAAACCCCGCCCTCCTGCGCTAGGATTGGCTAGCAGCGTCTAGAAGCCAATCATAGCGCAGGAGTCAAAATACTACCAGCCAATCGTCTTGCAGGAGGGCGCGTGCCTCGTCATAATACGGGTGGAGAGTAAAAAAAACCCTTCTGCTGGGAATCCCTCGCGAGCGCCCAGACCCAGACTCCCGTCCGCCAATCACAGCGAAGAGAACGCACGCCCGGCCAATGAACGGGCTCCTCTTCGCCGCGGGCTTTAGCGGCGTTGGACCGTTGAGGCGCTACAAATTATGCGGCGTGACGTCACGCGCGTCCACGAACGTTATGACTCATGTTGTCTGTCATCAGTTAAACCTCCTGAAATCAGGGGAGGATGTTTCCTGCGTTTCGGCTCCACACTTTATTTTTGCCTTTTTAAGGCTGCGGAATGCATTGAGCACGTATGACAGGCCAAACATGAGTCTGTTTCGCTTATTTTTAGACTTTTTGTGTGGGGCCACGTCAAGCTGAATCGGAAGTTGCCCGGTGTTTATGAACTAGTCATAGCAGACTGAGGTAAACAGCAGTGAAGAATTAGCCATTTAATTTATAACCTAACCCTGTCTCACTGAACTGCTACTCAATACCGCGCAGTTTCTACACTGTATACACGTTTGAGCTGTGAAAGAAGAGGCCAAAGTCATTTTAGATGAGTTAAAGACAGGGAAAAATCATGACTGAGTCTCAAATCGTTCCCTGTCCCCTATATAGTGCACACTGTGTAGGCAGGGTTCAAATTGTGGTAGTTTTAGTCAAAGGTCTGACTATGAGGTGACCTATATTTTGAATATTGTATTTTCAATCTATTTTTATGAAGTTTGTGAAGTTTTGTGAAGCCCTGTAATTTTTTTCCCAAGGCAGGGGTCTTTTAACTTCAACTGTATTACTTTTGAAGGTGCAGTGTGTAAGATTTAGTGGCATCTAGTGGTGAGGTCGCATACTGCAACCAACTGAATACCCCTCCTTCACCCATCCCTTTCCAAGCATGTTGTAGAACCTACAGTGGGCGCCAGGTTTTCTGCAGTCGCCTGTCCCGATTTCGTTTTGCTTCTTCATGTTTTCACTTCTTTGATGTTGAGAATTCACTCTCAATTGCTTTGTCTTGTGTTAAATAATAAGTATGATCCTCCATTTGTCAAAAAGTTGGGTTCTCAAACTTCTCACAACACAGAAAGGTTAGCCAGCACCGGCAGCAACCACTGAATGTTCTTCTTTCTACGTCTTCCATCCGGTGCTATAGTGCCACCAAACTCAAGCTGCTGCTTCAATGTAAAAACTCGAAAGGCACTCTCTAAAGCCCACAATCGATTGTCCGTTCTGGGCTATTGTAGAAATATGGCGGCGCGACATGTTTGCCTTAGTTGGATGAGAACACACTCCCTGTGTAGATATGAAGAGCTCATCCTAAGCTTGAGAAAACATAATGATTCATAGTTATAGGTGATTTTACACTATTGAAAACATGGCTTTGTATACAGACAGATCCCCCTAAATATTACACACTGCATCTTTAAATGATTTTTACAGTTAGAAGATGACAAGAACACACAGCAAGTATCTAATCGCCTACCTTTTCTCAGTTAATGAATTAAAATATATTAATTAGGTAGAAAAAAATAATTTAGTCCTCAGCTAAATAAAATTTAAAAAAGAAACATTTTGCTGGGCGACCAAGTAAAATTCAGTTTGATTGATATATTGATTGTTTCACAGAAAACATATTATTATTATTGCATAAAGCAATAGGCTTTTGTGTACATCACGTTTGAACAGCCTAACATGAATATCTGGCTGCTATAAGGGGCTGCTTTACTCTTATTGGAAGTCGAGAACACCCCCCCAGCCCTAAATCCCCCCCCAGCCCTGTTTATAGGCCATCAAATACTGCCTTCTGCTCCCGAGCAAGTATTTAGACATTTGTCCCTTATTGTAAAATGTTCTCTGTGTTAGTAGAACAAAATATCAAACCAAGTGTTTTATATTGTAAACAGACTAAAACTCATTTTCTTTTTGGTAAAGTATTTTTCAAGCAGCGGCTGCTGTTTCAGATCATTACAGTTTGGGACGTTTCTCCGGGGACTTCTGCAGGTTTACATCCAAAATGCCTTCTGAGTTCAGGATTCCATCAGTGAACACAAACTCAGTGACACCACTGTAAGAAAAACAGCCTGACATTTCCACCTCTGTGCCAGTAGCCTTAGTGCAGTCCAGGCTTTCACACAGATTCAACCATCGGGTTAAAAGCTTCAAACAGCTTTGTGTTAAAAATTATATGAGTTAAACTAACAGACTTCATAGAAGTTTATCAATAGTTAAATGGTTAGTGTCCAAATACATTTGGGGCACTGTTTGTCAGTGGAGAGCCATTTGGGACTCATGAATTTCTACACAAATGAGGGCCACTTTGTGCTGGGTGCAGCTCTTCAGATGAGGAAGAACCAGTAAGGCTCCACAGTGAACTTTAGTTAAATAGCTCAAAATGATTTTCTACAGCTGCTTTATTAAGCTCAGCACTTCTTAAAACCAGTTATTTGGCCTCCACAGCTAAGCAAGTGAGCCATGCCCCTCTGGATGTAGCGCCAACTAGGCTTTCTTCCAGTTCTTCTTCGGAATTGACTAATATAAGCCTGTCTCACACTCTGCCTTGTGTGTTTTATGGTGTCCCTGAATCTTTTGACGCAACATGGCACAGCAAAATGTGAACAGTTTCTTGTGCTTATATGGGTTATTTTAAATTTGGGGTAGGAAACTTGTTTAAAAATGTCTTATTTTCCCATTAAAATTTGTTTACCTTTGTGCTGCGTACTAACTACAATTTAGGAATTCACTAAGCATAAAATGATTAATATTTTCAGATTCTTGTCTACATTCTTATCTACAATACTGAAACCTCACAGAAAATCAGTAAAAAAATAAGTTTTTTTTCTTTTTGTTGACTGAGCAATAAAGGATGTTTTATGGATTGTTTGAATTCCCAAGATATTTTGAAATACTTTTATCATCTTCTCAGTGTCACTGAATATAACATCTAACTAACTAATAACTAAGTAATATTGATCCAGTTTTACTTTATTAGATGTAAATTTTGAACTCCTTCCTTCTGTATTCAGCTAGTAGGAGTACTCTTGTCACTCTTGGGCAGGTTTGCCTCTTATGTAATGCCTTTTTCAGTGAAAAATGTAAAACTATGATATTTTACTGGGTTGTACAGTATGTGACAGATTATTTCTAAAAAAGGGAATCATGAATTGACAACGGAATGTCTATACCAAACAGAAAAACTGAAAAATATTTGTTTTAGTTGCAACAAAGGGGAATTCCACCATTTTAAAAAAAATAATTCTGCATAATTCAGTCAACGAGATGCAAAGTGGTTTGATATGAAATGCTTCATTGCATGAAAACTTACTGACTGGCTTACTAATTTCTTTACAGTGGTGGTGATAGGAACCAGGGTTCCCAATACCTACAATGCCAATCCCAATACCTATAGCCAGTTTATTTACCATCTAATATGACCAGTGAACCTACACGTGTCATCTGAGTTTTTATATGTAATGTTGACGATGAAACCGTTGGTAAATTGGTTTTCTATGGCAAACTGTTTTGCCTTACAATGCCGTGCATGCACCTCTCCGTCATCAATAAAACAAACTCTTTTCTTAAACCCATCATAAAACAGTCTCTCGAGCATCAAGCATATAGTCATAATTTTGTGTCATATCTTTCTGTGAGGGAGATTTTAGAGACATTAAACTTTTCAGACGTCTGGTTCCTGTGAAATGCTCTATTCTGGAGAAACTTGCCGAGTCTTGCTCAAAAAGAGCATCGAAATCAAAAGATTTTAATGCCGCTAAAAGCTTCCACATACAATTATTAGACAAAATTGTTATGAATACACTGCCTGGCATTTTAGGAACTGTTTTATGATAGTTTAAAGAAGAGTTTGGACTTAGAAGCATTTTTAAAATATATTCATTCTCCAGAGATAAATGCAGGACATTGTGAGGCAGCATTGTCCCTCAAAAGACTCAAAAGACACAGAGATTCACTGGTGGTTTTGGATATTAGATGAATTTGATTTATTTGTACTGTACACATTATTACTCCTGTCAACTATCATCACCACTGTTAAGAAATCAGTTAATAAGTTTCTCTACAATGAACCATTTCACATCAAACCACTCTGAATGAATCCCAACCACTGAATTACAGAGAAATTCTGAAAGATTGGTGGAATTCCCTTTTAAGTGTTCTACTTTTCACTGTAACTTCAGGTATTAGGTTTAGGGACATGCAGTGCTCAATATGGAAGAGCATATTAATGCATTTGAATCAAATTTGTCAACTATTTTTTTTAAAAATAATTGTTATGTTGCTATATATTAAATGTGATGTGTGCATATATGTCTACATTTCTCAAACATATGCTTTTAGAGAAGAACAGAGAAACATTCCACCAAAAAAAATCAGACACCCTGCTTGCTTAGACTGTTTATATTAATTCTGATAAAAAATGTCTTCATTAAAAGTGTTCATATCATGTGCTGAGACAGTTCAGTGGTATCGTTCAAATACTTCATAGTCAGTTCATGCTTTTTACCAAAAAGTTAATACATTATCATTTTTGTTCACCACATTGCCACCACATGTTACACTCTCTCACTCGCAGATTCAGACGAGTAGATTTGTAAATAATCTACATGTAAATAATCTACAAATTTGGAAAAAACGTTGAGGGCCTTCATTTCAACATTCTGGCATGGCTTTTTAATCTTAGTGTTGCTGCATCCGTTGCTGTTATTCCACATGAACTTGTGTAATAACAAAGTAATTAGATCCTATGGCACCGTTATCAGAGTTCCAGACCTAGTGCTTCAAGGCTAAGCTAAG